TCCATTTTGTTTCGTGGAGAAGTATATTTTGTTTGAAAATAATTTATCAAAAACTTATCTTTTCTTTTATTTTGGTTGTCCACGAGTCGATTACGCTATCGGGCATAGGACTGCCAACAACCTGAGGAGGTTCGAGCCAACTCCCGCTAGACTTATGTCGGTAAAGGATATCATATCCTATTATTCATCAAATGCCTGGATCTTGATGTTATAGGATATGACATCTTTTTGCTCTATCTTCGGTGTGTCTTTATCATCAACACCGTACGCCCCAAAATGACTACTTGCGACCTTGCTTGATGATTTCACGTATAGCAAAAGGCTATACGTGGACACTTATGCATCGGACATAAGCGTCAAAAAGAACGAAACAAGAAGCAAGGAAAGAAAAAAACAAAAATGGGATGAGAGAGAGAAGGCACTGATCCATCTAAAACACCGAAAAGGAGAATGGATCAGTTCTCAAAGCTCGTGACAAAAAGACTCGAAAAGGAAAACCCAAAGATCCTTGAATCAATCTGAAATCACATTCTCACTTTTAGAATTGGACCAACCCGAGTCAAAATGACTTCCTAACGCCGGTATCCAAACCCCAACGACATCTTTTATAAAATTAATTCGTCCCAACCAAATGCCTTTCCAAAATAGGGTTTAAAATCTCCCAAACTTCAAAAGAAAGTAGCATCGGGGAAACCACCACTAACATTTCCAACTCATGCCAAAATCAAAATTCCCCCAACTTTAAGATTAATAAATAGTCTCGTGTATCGAATAAGCATAAAATTTTCCCACAGAATCTAAATAAATGCTCAGGGTCGGGGCCAATAGAGAAGAGAAAGCAACCATCAAGGCTCTCGGCTAAGACAAGGAACAGGGTCAAATGAGGCTCACGACTAAGACAAAAGACAGCTGCCAAGACCCATGACCAAAGGCAACCCAAGGGGCAACGAGTGAGGCTCACGGCTAAGGCAACAAAGGACCTAGAAAAGAACCACCAATGGCTACTATGCTTCCCTGACAAACAAGAGGATAACTAAAGTGATTATAATTTTTGGGATGACAAACTTGATCTATCCATAACATTCAAGCCAATCAAGCCTAGCAAGAAGGACCAAATCACACCAAACGACCTCCAATAGGCCTCACGGGTAAGGACCAAAAGGGGAGGCTAATTCAACCACATCACAAACCCACGGCTAGGAACCAAACAAACACCCAATTGCGGCCTTATAAACTGCCAAACCAATCCATCAAAGACCAAATAACAACTTTCGAATGGGGACAACACAGCACGCCCAAAATTGGCTCTCAGGTAAGAGCTGAGACCAACAAAAATCAAAAGAAACTAAGCCATTTCTCGGGTAGGAACTAAAGCCAGCAAAACCACCTTTCGGGTAGCGGGCCAAACAAAGCAAACCGAACTCCCAACTAAAGCCAAACAGAGCCACAGCTGAAATTCAAACTCAAGTTACAACAAAAGGGTAGAAAACATTTTCATATTCTGAAGACATCAAAATATAGAACTAACATATGTTTTAAACAAGAACAGCCATAGAGTTCCTCCAAAATAAATTCTTTCAGCATATGTATATTTAAGCAAAAACACCCGTAGGATGCCAAAACC